TACTGCAACAAAAAAATTCATCTAACTTGAAAATCAAGATACTAGAAGAGAAGTGTCAGGTCAAGTTGAAACTGCTGAGCAGCGAGAGAGCCAGGTATGCCACTAAGACCTAATTCTAAGACGGGAAGCCTCCAAACTGATCAAGTTCCCAAATGGCATTGGTTAAGGCTAAGTTTTTAGGAGTGTGGGAAAAAAGAAAATAATGCCTTTAAATCACCCCAATGCCATGAATTCGAATGTCTGCATGGTACCTAACAGGTATGAATTTTGAAGGGGTTCAAGTTTAACCTTCAAAGTGCTGGAAGTCTGTGAAGCTGCCTTGCTGCAGATGGCTATTCTGGGGACAGAAAACCTGAATGAATCAAAAGTAAGAAATGGGATCTCCTGCAACGCATCCTTGGGACGTGAAGAGCCCTGTTTATTGTATGCACACAGGGGAAGTTGGTTTTTTTTTTCAATCGTTCCATAAAAATAAAGCTGCAAAACATGGTTATGGACATCCCTAAGAGCCTCCCACCCATCTAGTAGCCCAGGCAATCAACAGAATTTTAATAACTCCTCCAAGCAAACGCCAGGTGGGTCAAGGCCAGCTGCTGTTGAGCTAACACTGAACCACACACACACACACACACACACACACACACACACACCTATAGAACCAGCTTTGTAAGGGCCAATCTCTCATTCACAGCTCCACAGGCTGAGCTGTACAATTGCCCCTTTTGTTTATATAATCCCATAGAACGAGTCGGTACAAAAGGCAAGTAAGAAACCATGGGGAATCTGTGTCCAAACCTTGCTTTGTACCTGAAGTTCAATTGTGTTTGGTTAACTTTCTATTTATCCTTCTCTTTCCTTCAGCTGACCTTTCTAGTCTTGGTCTTTGCCATGGTGTGTTGTGGCAGAACGTGGCTCAATGAGACTCTGGCACCATGTGACAAATGAACGCTTATGAGCTCTCTGTGAATTGTTTCATTCATCAGGTGTGTACATGGACACTCCCTTTGTACACCACCATTCCTGCCATGAAAAATGGGGAAATGTCAGCCCTGACACACAGGTACCTCCTATCCTCAGACACAGAGGCCAGACATGAGGTGGTGAGCTCCAATTCTTGCTTTCCCTCCAATCGTTCTCCTGCCGAATGGTCTGACCTGCAATTCGGATGTTGACCCTGGGAAAGACAGCTCACGGAATAGTACCAGGATGTTTTATTCCATGTAGCCAGATAACTGGAGGAAAATCAGGCCATGCAATGCCCTTGATCATTAAGTCACCTCAAATGAAAGTAGCATGGCCGCATCACGCTGTGTGACCCGTTTACCAACTTTTCCTTCTCTAGGAAGTGGAGTAATTAATCATCATTCCGGGACAGTGAACACATAGTCCTACCAACAAACAGTGAAGCGCTTACAGAGGGCCGTACCTCTGAGCACTATGAAACGTGAGTCACTTGATTAAAGGGTAAAGCAATCAAGCTGCAGACTGCTAAATGGTTAAACTAGGAGCGAGCGCAGTCTCATTTTCTTTTAAGTCTTTTAAGTGCACTGTGGAGCTCTGGTTGGAATTAGCCAGAGACCTGGCTGGAAACGAAGTGTGAGAGCATTGATAGGAATGATTTTCAACACCACCAAAGTCAATCAAAGGGAAGTACCTACGAATTCCCTCAACGACTAGCTGGAGGGCGTTGTGCGTTAACTGTTTTACTACAGCCCCTTCTTTCCCCATCACTTAGTATCGTTAGAGAAGCTCAACAATAGTCCTGAACAGCGGCAAAAATAAATTCTCTCCAATTAAGTAGTCTAATACGCTATTTAGGATTTTAGCACTTAACATTCTTTCCTTCCCATTTAATTTCCACTTTCACTTGGATGTCATCTTGTTGGAAATCCATCACAGAAAACTATGTGGGGGAAAAAAAAGATAATGTTGCCAAGGGCTCCTGATGTTCAAAACCGAGCAGAAGCATAATATTTTTTCCTAAATCACCCCAGGATTTTCCCTAATCGTTCAGCTTCTTCCTACTAAAGAAATTAATATATGAAAATATATGAAAATGGTCAATATGCAAATTCAAATATCACACTAGCTACTTGCCTTCAGTAAGGGCTATATGCATAAATTTGGAACAGTATCATATTTTAAGGTGCTTGATTATAATAATGTCTTGGTGTGCATATGTGCATGTGTAATGATGCTCATTTAATTTAATCATGAAAATATTATAGGGTCATTTGGCTTTCTCCTCCAAAAGTTCTCTCACTTTTGTCAATTAGTTCCACGTTGCCCCTTTTATAAGTCAGCCAATGGTAAGTAATGGTTTTAGGGTTAAAAGGAGTATCACAATCTTATAGAATTATGGACAAGGAAAGAGGTGTATGGGAAGGCGGTGGCATCTGGTCCTTAGCATATATCCTAATCAAGAAACAGTGTTAGACTTTTCAGTAGAACCCAGTCCTAGAAACACCCGAATTTTAAAGTCATTTCTTCCTGCAAGTTTCCAGTGTCCCTGAATGCTGAGAATTTGCCCCCGGGGCAGTCACCTGATTACAACAGAAGCCTTGGAAACCAGTTCATGTGACCTGCGCATTCCACATGCTTGACTGGAGTGGAGCTTTGGGGACTTTGCAGAATTACTGGAATCACAAGGGGGGCACTGAGGGGAGCAGGAGGGCGGAGGGCATTTAACTTCACCACACACTGAAAGAGTAGATAACATCATGGCAAGTGGCATAAAAAGGACCATCTTGAATGAGAGGGAAGAAACCTGACGCAAAGGTCATTGCATATTACCCCTCCCCCACCCAGGAAATCTTATTTTCTTTCCCACAGAAAAACTTTGTTCCTCTTCCCCAACATGTTAACAGAGAGCAGTGAAAAGAAATAGGCTGCTTTGTGCCCATCAATAGAATCTATATAACGTCTTTTCCCCCAGGGATTAATTCAGCCTTTGATTAAATCTTTCTGAGATTTAAATCATGGTGTTACAAACCTCCAAGGAGCGCCTCTGTGAGCTGTGACCTTCTTTATTACCCTCTGCTGTTTGATAAAGCGCGAAGATTGATTTATAATAGTGTATCATGTGTTTGAAAACAAGGACTCGCAAGAAAGAATGGCAGAATGTAAGATTAATACAAGTAACTATTGCAAAAAGGGACACCTTGGTTAAAATATTTTGTAATTAATACTGAGTTACAACTGTGTAGCTAGTAACAACTAGTGTCAAATGAGCACACTAACGCTCTTAGAGCTGTAAAATACAGCTGTAAAATGGTTAGCTAAATAATGCGACAGTGAAAACTGGCAACGCTGAAAAAGAATTTTGAACTAATATCACATTGTATACTTTAAACAGATTTAGTGTGGAGGACTTCTGAATTGAAACAAGCTCCTTTTAAATAAACTGTTCATATCCAGTGTTCACTTATTTTTGTCAGCCTAATTTTGGTTTCAATAATTATTTCACCATTAGTATCATCAAGGATGGAAGTGATTTAATGTTTGAGGACAACGTCAAATGAATCCTTTGTCTCTAATCAGGATGTTCCTCTACAAGACTAGCGGCTACTACTTTTTTTTTTCCTTAAAAATCCCTCTTTACCCTCAAAAAGGTTTTAAGGGCAAGGAGTTAGCCCTTAAAAAGGAAGACTTTTGTTATTCTATTGCCCTTTCTAATTCCAGCCAGAAGACTAAAAATGTTCTATACAGTGGGGGATGGTATAGCTCAAATGGTAGAGTGCAGGCTTAGCATGCATGAGGTCCTGGTTTCAATCCCCAGTACCTCCTCTAAGAATAAGTAAATGAACCTGCTTACTTCCCCCCAAAATTAAATTAAGTTAAATTAAATTAAAAAGTCCTATACAGTTTAAGCTCCAGTGGAAATAAGTTAGGATCTGAGGCTTATCCACTGAATCTCAGAAGTGCTTAGAATCCACCGCTGTAGATGAATGAAATATTTGGGCAAGATAATGGTAGATTTTTTTTTGTTGTTCCTAATCATTTATTTTTGTTTTGTTTTATTTTTTGTGCCTTTTTTATTGTAGTGTAGTCAGTTTACAATGTTGTGTCAATTTCTGATGTACAGCATAATGTTTCAGTCACACATATACATACATATATTTGTTTTCATATCCTTTTTCATTTTAGGTTACTGATAAATGGTAGGTTTTTATTTTCTATTTTGATAAAATTATTGGCAAATCTCACAGTGGTATTAAATAGAAATAGAGTCATGGGAAGTGCCTCTTGCGTCATTTAGCAGATTTCAGTGTACTATTGATTGCTCTTTCACATTTCCAATAATTATGAACATTTTTTTTTCTGTAGGAGAAAGGGGGCCAGGGGCTGGGATATATTTAGCCCCCTTTCCTATTGCTAGGTTTATGCTGAATCTTGCAGTGTAAGCGGTTGGGCATGGGGACTACTATCTGAAATCAGGGGAGGACAGAGCGCAAATAATGTATTCTCTGGCTTCTCAGTCACAAGGACCACCAGTCGCCTACGAGGCACAGTAGACATCCTGACAATAAGTCGTATCAGCAGCTGTCTATCAGCTTCTCCCATATTTAACCTGATGACTTACATATGATGGAGGAGCGGGGAGGTGTATTCTGTTACAAGTCTTCAAAAAATATTCAGTCCATTATAGTCAAATTGCTTCCTAAGCTGAATATTTAGCAGGTTTCTCACTAGAAGCAATGGCTTGGACTTAAAAGTCACACTTTCCAGGGTTAAGTACAAAAACAGAGCTCATCCATTTGATAAAGCCCCACGTCACTTCTTACAGAAATCACCACGTCCGCCTTTGCTGTTTGAAAGGAGACAAGGTAAAATACAGAAGGTGCACGTTACCTTAGAGCTGAAAGCCATCCATGAATATGGAAAAGAGGGGGAGGGGGAGGGAGATCCAGAGAGGAAATAGAATAATAATAAGCCAGTAATGTGTACTGATCTGAGAAACATGCCAGGAGTTTGGTTACGATAAATAAGAAAAGCAGAAGTAGATTTGAAACATTCGTTTCCCTTTATTAGCTCAGTGAGGCTGATGTGTACTGCACATTTAAAAAAAAATCACAGGAATTTTCATACAATGAATAAAACCACAACAATACATGTAGAATTGGCAGGTGGAAAAAAAAAGCCCGGCAAGGGCTCAACTAATCGCTCACTTTCCCTCTTCAGCATAGTTCAACCAACAGTGTTACACTTTCACCTACAAATCTTAAAGTAGCTCCATCAAATCAGCAGTTCACATTATTGAAAATGTCTGTCACATAGGTACAAATTTAGAATCATCACATTATATTACATGGCTATTCTAGGTCATCTATAGATCAGGTCTTAGACTACAGTGATTGAAGTTCTCGTTACAGCCATCAAAAAAGGACACATAATCATTACCTACTGTAAGCTCACATCTAAAGGCATGAAAAGGTTTCCTTTTTTTTTTTTCCAACTGACCCAACCATCACACCCCAATAGTGCAAAGTTCCCTCTCTGCTGCTTTGAATGTTGACAGCCCAAGCGTTGCTCTCGGAGTCGTTTAGCAAAAATTGGTTTTGCTACACTGGAAGAATTATTCTGCTACATCTCTTTAAAAAAAAAAAAAAGAAAAAACCCACATTTCTAAAGCACCAGTTCAGTTACCAAAATTGAAGATGTGGTACTTACCACAGCATGAAGGCAATGGCCCGGGGTCATCTAAAAATCCTACAGATCTATGCTGAAATTTGCCTCCAGGGATGATGGGGTGCATGTGTTCATTTGAAATATTCTCTCAGAAAAAAAAAAATTAAAAACAAAAATAAAAGAAACACAGTTTACATTTTGATGGGTTACCCACAGTGTCTGCATAAGATACAAAAGCTTTGTTTGGAGGGTTTAGCGATTCTCCCTCTGCACTGCTTTTAGATGTAATTTGAAGTCCATGGAGGAAAACTATCTTCATGGTAACAGTATTTGTCAGGCCAGAAGAGGGGATAAAGTCACCTCCATCATGAAATCTGTAGTGTTGTCTTTTGATAGGTAAGAAAAGAAACCAAATATTTCACTCATGTCAACAATCCAGGGCAAAAAGGAGAATGGATTTAAACTTGGATCACAAAAATTTAAAGGCAAAATAGAGAACACATCTGGTCCTTAAACACATAATATGATTTACTAAATATCAATTTCTTAAAAATAATTTATTGCTCTTAATAGTCTTTTTTTTTATTCTTATTCTACAACAGAAGATACTCAAAATTCAGAAAGAAAGACTGTAAACTTTAGTTTGGCGTTCACACAGAGTTAAAATACCTGCATTTAACCTACAGAACGACAAGAATTAGGCGGATTAAAGATGTGTTACTGTCGTAACGCAGAACCTGTGAACAAGTTCTTTTATTTCATAGTATCTTATTGCTTTCTATCTACTTAGAAAGAAGAAGCCAAAAAACCAAGCAAGCATCCGACAGGACAGACAGTGGATTCACTCAGAACACAATATGCTGGTGATAAATGAATGCAGCTGTCAAAATTAGCTGCATCGGCCGGGGTGGGAGTGGGGGGGTGAAATCCATTTGATAAGATCTTGTGGGTCGAGAGAAAGGAAAAGAAGGATTAAGGATTAAGAAGTAGGTATATCGTGTCTTCCAGAAAAGTCATGTTGGCCAAACTGTAATTGAATCTCAATTTAGAAACTTGAATACACACTCCAAACTTTAGCGACTTCCATTCCAGGGGCTCCACACTCAGAGGAAATCCTGATGCTCAAAAATGGAGGTTTTTCTGAAGTTTTTTATTGAATTTAGCAGAAGCAATGTCATCAAGAACAACATCATGGTCACGTCAGAGGCCATGCTAGTGCAAGTAGAAACACTGCTTCTGCAAAAGCTGAATTTCCCAAATGAAACACTTAAACCCCAACCTGACAATTGCCATGCATCCTAGGTAGAAAATTTCCACTGGCTTTATTATTTTCATCATCTCATAATTTATAATAAATAGGCTATCTGCAACTGATAAATATGTCTCTTTAGTAAACAAAGGAATGAAATATCAGTATTTATACAGGATGCATAACTATAAAAAATACAGATAAATACCATCATCATACTCTGCCAAGGGAAAGAGATACTGGCTTCAAAGATAGTCTTCAGACACACATTAATTATTGTAAAAATCATACTGTAATTATTACCTCAGCATTTTGTATCAAATTAAAATCACAAAAATTAAAACAAAACAGCATTTTAAAAAGATTTTTGACCTCTAGTTTCAAAACTACTGTTGATAGAGAAAATAAAAACATTTCTTAATGGTTACCCATTGAGAGACTTTACATAAAATCATGATATCTTCTAGAAAAATTTTAGATGAGAAAATTTCATTCCCCTAACAAATCCAGTGTATAAAACTTCAAAGAAAAACAAGCAACAAGAAAATGTGGAAAAATATCGCATAAGTTGTTAATACCTTTAGGGGACTAGGATATTTTTTGACAAGATGCTTAGATCAAAGCTCACCTAAGAAGGGATGGTTGTGCAAAAAGCATCAATTTGTTGTTGCTGCACTCAATGGACACACACACTGTCCTTTTTTTTTAACAATCAAATATATATAAGCGATAAGTTCAGCTTCTAAATATGTTAGTGTACAGTAATTGTTTCACCTCATAATTACATTTGAATACTCTTGATTAAGAAAAATTTAGCAGTTTGGAAAAGAAGGCTGCATTTACAGTGCATAGCTGTAACAAAAAAAGAACATCATTGTATAATAGTATGTACACAAAATAAAAATACTCCATTTAACATCTGTAAATACTTAACTACGTCAGAGAATGTAGCCATTACACTATCTGAACACATCCCGGAGAGTTCTACCCAACTCTCATCAGTAATGTAACACCGTGCTCGCTCCTCAGAAAGAACCACTGAGCAAGCTGCAAGCTTGACCATTGACAAGGCTTTTGAAATTTGCAGTGGAAGATCAACATCTTGGACATTTACATGGGTGTCAGGATAAAGGACGAACTACAGGAACTTCAAAATGTTAGGAAAGTTTAGCATTCCAGTGCCCGCAGTATCCTCTCCCACCCAGATTCCATGGCAAAAGGAAAAAGGAAAAAAAGAAGAGGCAGAGAGAGGAAGAGGCAGAGAGAGAAAGAGAAGGAGAGAGAGAGAAAGAGAGAAAGGATATTAGTTCTACAGAACCTGCGGTTTCTTCGGGATTGTCATATAATTGTTATGTTACGAGAGAAAGCTTGCTTCAAGTTGATTCTGTACTTTCTTTAAAAAACAGAGTACGGAGGCTGATGCCCAGACGTCAGTGGCTGTCATTTTAGGGTGGCTTGTGGTTGGTTGGTTAGTTTTCTTTCCTTTTGAATTTACGCATTTTTTTTTCCTTTTGAATAGAATAGGAACATTTTGAAGTTCTAGGTTTTAAGTGTGTCTTCATGGAACTGCTGCCATTTGAAGTGGTTTGCCTTTGCAAGCTCTGGTCAGGTGCCCCCAGTCCCCACCTGTACATACAGACTTCCCCCAAACCAGGCAAGCACACACACACACACACACACACACACACACACACACGCACAAACATACACTCCATCACCAAGAGACTCAGGGAAAGCGAAACTGACACCAGGAATAAACATGTGCTTACTGGATATCCATTCTGTCTCTTGCCTCTTCAGCAGCTGTGTTCATGTAAACCATTGTTGTTGTTCTTCTTGTATTGTTGTTGTTTTGTTTTGTTTTGTTTTTTTGTACAGAGAGTGTAAAGCAGGAGAAATTCCTAAGTCGGACTTGCAATAGTCTGTTAGGGAAAGACGCGCTGTCCCGTGAGGTATTCACCGTCCCTCTGTCATCCTCAGCCAGGGAACATGTTACCTGCGCAAGCTTCTCTGAGCTTCCTTCAGTAAACTATCGAAATCCAGAGAGTCATACTTGCTCTTGGTGGAAGCAGGGTCAAAGTCATCTGAGTTTGAATCTGAAAGAAACCCAAGCCAGGTTAGATGTACCCTTGGCTGACGGTCATTAGCTCAATCCTCTCATTTAGGATGACCTGATTCAATAGCAACCTATCCAAAGGTTAGGTTTTAAAAGTGTATACACTTTTAAAAATATGCCCAACTTTTATTTGTATGTGGTATTGAAGTGCACATATATAATGCATATATATACAGATATACATTTGCAGAAAGTATTTATATGTATGCACATTAACATGTATAGACATTTGCGTAAGGTATTTATATGGCACTGGTATATATATCAATATTTTAATTAATTCGTTTATCAAATATTTATATTTATTTATTTATATATTTATACCAAATGTATATATTTGTAGAGGGTAAGGAGTGGTGAGCATTCAAAACACTCATCTACGGACTCATTTTAGACTTAAATGCTCCTGGGAGGTAATCAGAACTGGCTTTAATATTTCTTTTCAGTAGCAACTTATGCAATCAATATGCTTTAAAAATAAGCCTCTTCCCCGTTCCTGGCCTGTTCAATGACCTACCCAAGGCTCCTCAGAAGCTTAGTTGGAGAGGCAAAAGTAGAAGCTAGGGCTGATTTTCCTATCCAATGGGACGGATTTCATTGAGCACAAAGGCCAGCTGAGTAGAAGAGAGAATCCTCAGAGCCTTAGCCACTCATCACACTGCTGCTCTCCTCTGAAGCAGGAGGGACAGCTGGTCCTGTCATGGACTCCAGTACCATGATGGACCCCAGCAACAGTGGCACAAGTTCTCTCCCAATTACAAGGTTTAGGCAAACGCCTCATGTCCAGAGAGGGCAAATTCAGCCTCTTTACTCATTAATAGGAGAGGAAAAATACGCAAGTGTGACGAAACTAGTCCATGTAAGCTTTTGTGTAAAGCTCCACGTGCTCCATCAAACAGCCTTTAACAAAGTGATGTATTTCAGCCATGTTGGAGGTAAAGTAAAATTCTGTTAAATATTTCTGATTTTTCTCCATTGACATCTTTGAAAAAAGTCAAATATATCTGCTGGGCTTTTGGCTTGAGAAAGAGCATCTTAGAAATAGAATAGAAAGCCTCTTGCAGACACATTCATTCTTCTGAAAGCACTTACTTTAAAGGATGACAGAACCTTTCCAAGAAACATTAACTCCTACTAAAATACGAATATTTCTATGTTTTACCCAGATTAAGTTACAAAATAGAAATGCTCAAAGTGACAGAAAAGTCTAATACTAGATAACATGGAGACAAGTCGCTGACCTCACAAGCAGTTCTGCTGGAAACCCTTCAAGCTCTCGAGAACCAGGCTGATACCCCGCCCCCCAGCTTCAATCTATTTCGGATTTAAAGACATCTTAGATTTAAAGACAAGGAAATTTCTTCACTTTTTTTTTTGAATTTTCACCATCCCTTGTCTTTCCTGCCTTCCTTTTTTTAGGTAAGACAAACAATTACAGTCTGCCTCAGACATTAAATAAAATAGGACAAAAATGGCCAATCTTTCCTCATTAAAATTTTAAATGGTCAATCTTAAATTACACTGACTTATCCCTTTCTCTTCATAGCCTAATGCATAGTTTCCTTATATAACTAAAGCTTCATGAACAGCTGTTGTTCAAATCAAATTTTTCTGTGTGTAGAGACAAAAAAAAAAAAAAAAACAACTTCTGCTCCTTGCTAGGGATTAGCCTGAAATCAGAATCCCACTTGCATTGTAGATGAAGACAGCATAGTCTTCCACTGACAGGAGTCTGAGTCACATAAAGTCAGTACAGAACTTTCAAGAACATATATGTGTATCTTTGCTTGGAGGAAAATTTGAGAATATTCAAAATGTCTTAATTTTGGATTATTCTACATGAAACCCAGAATTTCAGTGTTTCTCTATTCTCATTAGCAAATACTAAAAACCTTTTGATACAGTGGTTCTCCAGTTTGTTCACCGTGAAGCAGTTTGGTTGATGCTTACAAATTTGCCAGCTCTCATGGGCATACTATGTCAGAAGGCACCCACAGCATCTTTTCTGTTGCTTGAAGACAGAATGTGTTTATGTGCAACTCCTGAGGCAATAAATCCCTCCACTCCTTTCTCTCCACTAAAGGAACGATATTGCAAAACAACTAAGATAGAATAAAAATGTTACAGGAATAATCTGAAAGGCACTCTAAGAATTGTTTAAAAATTATTATAAATAAGAATAATGGATTAAGAGAAACAAGTCACATCACAACTGTCTTCCTAGCACCTAGAAAATCTTTGGCACAAAGTAGGTACTCAAATTAATATTTGTTGAATGAATGTATTTACCTTGAATGCCAGCATATTATAAAAACTAGGATTGAAAATACTTCTGTTGGGATCTGGGGTTGATTTATCAATGAATGGCAAGGGTTTATGTAAAGTTATGTATATGTTCAACGTGATGATAATGTAATGCTTATCTTGGAGTTAATAAAGAATTTGTGACCAATATGTTATTTAATTTTTCTTATATGTTTAAGTTACACACCATAACTAGTTCGTGATCAAAATGATCATATTCTGAGTACTGACCTATCCTTCTATTCTGACCCCTATGGTCCTAATTTACTTTTGCTCTTTCCTCTTTAAGATTTTTTGTCAAGCTCTTGCAAGTGGAAAGATCCATCTGTTTATAAGACAGTAAATAAAAGACACACAGATTACAGATTTACAGAAACCAGATTTAAATACTGGCTTCATCATGGTAAGCCTGGTCATCTCTTCGAATTCTGAGTCCCATTTATAAATCTGGCTCATAAACAGTCACTGGAATCACTGTGTTTTATATTAATTTATTTTAATAGTATTGTAGCAACTGCTAAGTGGCTGTACAAGAAGAGAAATGGGATGTATGAGCTCAATATGGGAAAGCAGAAAAAAAGAAAAAAAATGGGTAAAATCTATCTAAGACAATAGGTCTCTTTACTTTTGGTAGAATTAATTGGTATCACATCATTTTCACTTTGGACATACACGTAAGCTCCCAGTCCCTCGAAGAGTCCAGTATATGCTCATGTGCACCTTATTCAATGTTCATAGCCCGAAGCACTAAAGTTGACCTCTTCAGGGAATAAAGACAAGACACATATGATGCTGACCAGTTCCCAAGCTAGTCCCCTGGTATTGATTCTTCCATTTAAAATTAACCTAAAGTTTCTAACTTCTTCTCATTACCATCTTTTAAAAAAATTATTATTATTATAGCAACTATGTATTAAGAACGTATTTTATGTCAGACCCTGTGCTAAGGGCTTCGCAAACATGCATTTAATCTTCACAACAACATTAGAAGGTATTTCACAAATGAAGAACCAGAAGCAGAGGGAGCTTAATTGCTCAAGGTCAGAAGCTAACTCAGGTTTCAAAACCAGGCCTGCAAGATTCCAAAGCCAAGGCACTCTCCACTACACCATGCCTACGCTCAGATCGACTACCCTTCCTGCAACTGTAAGGCTGGAGGGAACTGGAAAAAACCCATGATACTACAATGCACATCAAACACACTTTTCAGAAAATACAGAGCTCGCCTGGCAATGGCAGAGATTCCACTGCCGCTGGTTAGACAGAGATAATGAGGAAGGAAGCATTCTTCTTAGAAATGTTTCAGGAAGGCTCCAGTTCAATTTGGAAAGCCCATCCAATCCTCCCTCTCCCAGTGATAAATTGTGATCTAAAGGCCCCTCTAGGTAGCTCATTTTAAACTCTAGATGTTTTGAGAGACTAGGAAACACCCTGGCCTTCATCACTGAAGAAAATAAGTCAAATCAACTCAAGACTTCAATCTGTCTTGACTGTTTTTATCAGCCAACATTTGAACAAATGACTTGCCACCTTTTATATCTTCATCCCGAGGCCTCTGTCTCTCCAACAGTCAGCTGCCTCCCCCCCTGCTCCACACTGTCTATTCAGCTTGTGAAGTGAATCACAGCATATCCCCCTGAACAATGCACCACACTTGCATCAGTTACTCTAGGAAAAGACGTCACTTCGGTGGAAGGAAGAAAAAAAAATCCCTGTATTTGGTATTCATTTTATTTTCTTTAAGCCAAAGCAAATGTAGATAGACACATAATAGTACTTAGGAACAGATTCTTCTGTTAATTTCATAATTATTATTATAAATTGATTTAAAATAATTCTGTTATATGCACAAGACATTTGGCATTTTCCTTCCTTTCATTAAGAGATTTAAAGGTTTACAACACACACATTACATAGGGAATAATACAAAGAGGAACAAAATTGAAATTGAAAAGGAAATCAAGATGTCCATTGTGGCCTTATTTATAATATCAAAAGTTGAAAACATGTTTAGCTGCAATGGAATGATTAAACATAGTGGTACTAACAGAATACCATACAGCCATTAAAATATATTGGTAAATTATCTTTAATCCTGTGAATCACAGTGGAAAATGAACTTGTAGAATAATAATTGAGAAAAGTAAAGTTTTAAAGTATTTATGTATGTGTGTGTGTGTGTGTGTATATATATATATATATATATATATATATATATAATATATATATATATATATATATATAATATGACCCCAACTATAAGAAATTAGACATTCTGAGACAAAATACTGGACTGTAAATCACACATGAGGTAATAGAGGTTATCTCTAGGTGATAGGCTGACAGGTAATTTTACTATTTTTCTGGATATCTTTTTATATTTTCTAAATTTTACCTCTTGAGTCTATACAAATTTGATGACAGAAAAAAATGAATACTTATCTATGCTTCAGTTTCCTTATCTGTAAAATGGGGATGATAATAATAATATCCACTTCTGAGGATAGTTCTGGTAATTAAATGAGAAAAATGCTGACAAAGCTTTGGCACAGTGCCTAGCATATGGAAGCACTCAAAAAATAACAGGTTTTTTTTCCTTCTTTAAAACAAAAGAAAGTATAATGTGATTTAGCATATGAAATTTTATTTTTTCCTCTCAGAGTGTAATTTGTAGAAAATGTTAACATTTCTAAGAGTTTGTGAGATAAGAAGGGAAAAAGGATTTTTGCATATTCTCTTCTGCAGAGCAGTGATGCCAATGCTGTAGTTTGTGCAAAAGGATTCAGGGCAGGCACAGAAAGCAACAGCAAATTACAAACAAACACAAAGACGTATACACATATACACACCCTAAACACAGGCAGGCACACTATACCACACATACACACAGCATATGCACACACAAAACATAACACACCACACACACACACAAGCACACACACACACAAACAGTGCAGAAGTTCATCATTGGGCAGACAGTAGAAAGAATGTGCTTCTGCTCTTTGTTGCCAAAACTTAAGCATCCTGCTTCTGAAGCGGTCTTGTGGGTTAAAAAACAGGATAAAATCTGTGTTCAAATATTCTTGCTAGTAAAATTAAGTGATCAGCCAACCCAGCGTGCCTCCGGTTTACACATGCTTCCATTTGAGCTCTGCATTATGGATTCCTCATCCCATGTACAGTGAAATCCATACCTAGGTCTGCATAGTTAGACTTGAAAAATTGCTTGCGTCCACAAAAGTACAGCTCGAAGTCAGTTTCATTTGACCTGCGCAAAGTGTATCCATTTTCAACAGCAGCAAAAGCATCACAGGTATAACGGTAGGTAATGAAACCATAGCTGTCTCTGCAATGGACAAAGAAGAGGAGTTCAGAGCGGCGAGGCAGTATTAGCATAAACGACTGTAACCCCTTCTACTTCGAAGACTTCACCGGTGCCAGCGTCTGAACCACTGCATCCATTTATCAGTGTGATTGTCCTGTCAAGCAGTTAAATACTTATTTCTGGGACAGGAAATCTCAACTAGAAAGATTAATAAATAGGGATGAAAGAAAATAAATAAGGTTCTGAACTCAACATGTCATCTGTCAAAGCATTCCCATCTTAGTAATCTTATGGCCATAATTTTTTACATATGTCAGCTTCTAAACAAGAAATAATCTTGAAGATTCTCACCCATCATCCCGGAGATTTACTGTGCACTCCTCAATTTCACCAAAAACTTCAAAACGGTCCCTCAGTTCTGTCCGTGTTGTGTCAGGTCTGATTTTACCAACATAAATCACACGGCGTTCTTCCTAGGGGGGGAAAGTGAGGGGAGACTTGCTAGTTCTGGAGACAGGAAAGAAGTTGAATACTAGAAACATTCACAAAGGTACAACGCATGCATAACAAGAACCCCCCAGAGCATGCCGATTAAAGCAAAACGCACACACAAACAACGAAAGACTGTACTTGAGCCAAGTTTTACTTTCTATTTCTCTCTTTCTCACATGCACTCTCCTCTGTTTTTCCTATCCATCCCTGTTCCTTTGTCACATGAAATTTAATGTATTGTAAAAGTAATATGTGTAACGCCATCTTTTTATCCCTGAGTAGCTGAACCATACCTATTAAATATTTTTTAACACTTGTGACTTGATTATTCTTCAAAATTGGTAAAAAACTGACCTGGCTTGCAAAACTGTTTACTTTCTCATTAACTCATAATTTTAATAATAGATGTACAAATTTTTTCAGTTCCATTGACAAATAGTTGACATACATGACTGTATAATTTTAAGGTGTACAGCATGATAGTTTGATGTACAAATTTTGACACCCCTCAAAACACTGATTCTTAAATTCTAGTATAAATACAGATTATCCAGGGTGCTTAGTAAAAATGCAAATTATTGGGGTTTATTCCAGCTGTATTTAAAACATTTGGAAGATAGGGTTCAATGCTCTTTATTTTTAACAAGCACACCCCAGGGATTCTGATACAGGTGGTCAAAAGACAATGTCTTTAAAAAGACTGTCTTAAAACGTAGGCCATTTTAAGCCGTGGGTCTCTGAAGAATACGAACTATAAAAGAGGCTATAAATTTCACTTTGCCAAGGAATCTTATTTTAGGAACAGACTAATGGGTGGGGCCTAATTTTCACAAGTGGAGTCAATATCATCACAATCTGAAAGTCAACAGTAATTTATAACCTACAAAATATGGGAGGAATATTTTATAGCCCGAGGATGGATTCATTTTTTAAAGAACAAGAACACATTCTTAGTCTAAGAAGTAATCCTACATCTCTTGTTCCAAAAAGACAAGGCCAAAGGTGATGGCGTCTCTCAAAACTGAGAAAAGGTTTTTCAAGAACATAAGAAGTTAACATAACAAATGTGCTTACCAACTAGTCTGTATGTCAATCAAGGACAAACAGGAATAAAATGAACTTGGAGAGATTTAAGTTAGATGGAAACAGAGACTAGGAAACACAGGGCTAGGTATGCATTTAGTTTAGTTTGCCTAAGAGTTTTCTCTGACTGTGTCTTGGATGATATAGAGAGTAGGTTAGGCAAAGAGATATCCTATGTTATTTATTGAACGTATTTCCTTTTCCTTACGTGCTCAGGTTTTAGCAAAGGACCTGGCAAAGAGTGGACACTCAGTGTTTCTGAAATGTAACTGAACAATTCATAGGCTCTATAACACACAGAGAGATCCTCTCCTACGTGGACTATCCTCGTCTTCTTTTACCATATGCAATGCTCATCTTCCTATTTTCATCAGGGACATTCCCCTGAGCTTCAGATTCAAGTAGTCAATGACCTATTTGACCTCTTGGGTTGGATGTCCCCTAGGTACTTCAAACTAAACCAGCATTACCCAAACCAAACTCTCTAGTTCCACCCTTTCTCCAGTGGGGCTTTCTGCACTGTATCAGTGAAATGGACCCCATCCAGCCAGTTACTAAAGACAAAGACTTCAGTGCCTTCTTTGCTTCTTCCTTCTTAGTTCCCTCCGTATACCCTGTTATCACTCATTAAGTTCTGTTGCTTTTTACTTCCTAAATCTCTCTAATCTGTCTCCTTTACTACATCTCCCCTCAATGAAGCTGCCAGCATCTCTTTGTGGATGAGTATAATGGCCTTGTAATTTGATCCTGTGTCTGGGTTCACCCTCTTCCAATCTATTCTTTCACTTGAGTCAGAACAGTCTTTGCTATGGGAACAGGAATCCAATCATGCCAATTACTAGCAAAACTATTTCAGTAGTTTCTCATAACATTTAAGGAAAGACCTAAATCATTAATGGGACCTACTGGGCCCTTCGGGGTCTGGACCTGTTGTCATTTCAGCTTCAGCTCCCACATCCTGTTCTTTCCTTTCCTCTATTTCCAGCCACATTGATTTTCTATCTTTCCCTAGTATATACTGTGATCCTTCCTTTCCTAAGGTTTTGGCATAAGCTGTTCCTCTGCTACTTGGAACATCCTTCCCACACTGCCTCTCCTTCCCTCCACTGACATAGACAGGCTGTCTAGAATTACACTGGACACAACAATCACTTCCTTTCTGAGACTTGAGATAAGGGCAGTATTCCTATTATAAGGTGCTCTTACGGAACACTCAACTTCTCTTTCGTAGTTCTGTGCCCAATTGTAAGGAAGTCATTATTTATTCATTGTTTTTCAATATTCTTTTTTATTGAAGTATAGTTGATTTACAATGTCGTGTCAGTTTCAGGTATATGGCAAAGCGATTCAGCTATATGTGTATGTATATATCTATATATACACACACACACGTATGTATTTCTTCTTTTTCAGATTCTTTTCCATTATAGGTTATTACAAGATATTGAATATAGTTCCCTGTGCTATACAGTAGGTCCTTGTTGGTTAGCTATTTTATATATAGTAGTATGTATTTGTTAATCCCAAACTCCTAACTTATCCCTCCCTGCCTTTCCCCTTTGGTAACCATAAATTTGTTTTCTATGTCTGTCAATCTGTTTCTATTTTTAAATAATTTCATTTGTGTCATATTTTTAGATTCCACGTATAAGCAATATCATATATTTGTCTTTCTCTATCTGACTTAATTCACTTACTATGATAATCTCTATGTCCATCCATGTTGCTGCAATGGCATTATTTCATTCTTTTTGTATGGCTGAGTAACATTCTATTGTATATATATATAACACATCTTCTTTATCCATTCATCTATCGATGGACATCTAGGCTACTTCCATGTCTTGGCTATTGCAAACAGTGCTGCCATGAACATTGGGGCGCATGTATCTTTTTGAATTATAGTTTTCTCAAGATATATGTCCAAGAGTGGGATTGCTGGATCATATGGTAACCATTTTTAGTTTTTATGGAAACTTCATACTGTTCTCCATAGTGACTCCATCAATTTACATTCCCACTAACAGTGTAGGAGGGTTCCCTTTTCTCCACACTCTGTCCAGCATTTATTGTTTGTGAATTTTTTTTTTAACAATGGCCATTCTGAGTGGTGTAATGTGATAACTCATTGTGGTTTTGATTTGCATCTCTAATAATTAGTGATCTTACATTTAGGTCTTTAATCCATTTGAGTTTATTTTTGTATATGAAGTTAGAGAATGTTCTATCTTTTACATGTAGCTATCCAGTTTTCCCAGCCCCACTTATTAAAGAGACTCGTTTTTCTCTGTTGTATAGTCTTTCTTCCTTTGTCATAGATCAATTGACCACAAATGTGTAGATTTACTTCTGGGCTTTCTATCCTGTTCCATTGATCTGTATTTCTGTGTTTGCGCCATTATCATATTGTTTTGTTTATTGTAGCTTTGTAGTATAGTCTAAAGTCAGGGCGCATGATTTCTCCAGCTCCCTTCTTCTTTCTCAAGATTGTTTTGGTTATTTGGGGTGTTCTGTGTTTCCACACAAAGTTTCAACATTTTTTGTTCTAGTTCTGTGAAAAATGCCTTTGGTAATTTGATAGAAATTGCACTGAATCTGTAGGATGCCTTAGGTAGTATGACCCTTTAATAATATTGATTCTTCCAATCCAAGAACACAGTGTATCTTTCTATCTGCTTGTGTCATCTCTAATTTCTTTCATCAGTGTCATCGTTTTCAGAATACAGGTCTTTTGTCTCTTTAGGGAGGTTTATTTCTAGGTATTTTATTCTTTTTGATGTGATGGTAAATGGGGTTGTTTACTTAATTTCTCTTTCTGATATTTCATTGTTAGTATATAGAAATGCAACAGACTTCTGTGTATTAATTTTGTGACCTGCCACTTTACTGAGTTCACTGATGAGCTCTACCAGTTTTCTGGTAGCGTCTTTAGAATTTTCTATGTATAGTATCATGTCATCTGCAAACAGCGACAGTTTTACCATTTATTTTCCAATTTGGATTCTTTTTATTCCTTTTTCTTCTCTGATTTCTGTGGCTAGGACTCCCAAAACTATGTTGAATAAAAGTGGCAAGATTCCTTATCTTGTTCCTGATCTCCAAGGAAATACTTTCAGCTTTTTCCTATTGAGTATGATGTTAGCTGTGGATTTGTCATATATGGCCTTTATTACGGTGAGGTATGTTCCCTCTATGCTCACATTCTTGAGAGGTTTTTATCATAAATAGATGTTGAGTTTTATTAAAAGCATTCTCTGCATCTATTGAGATGATCATATAGGTTTTATTCCTCAGTTTGTTAATGTGGTGTGTCACCCTGACTGATTCACGGATATTGAAAAATCCTTGCATCCCTGGCAGAGTAAATCCCACTTGATCGTGGTGTATGATCCCTTCAATGCCTTGATGGAGTCGATTTGCTAGTATCTTGCTGAGGACTTTGCATCTGTGTTCATCAGTGATCCTGGTCTGTTCTTTTTTTGTGGTATCCTTGGTTTTGGTATTGGGGTGATGGTGGCCTCATAAAATGAGTCAGAAGTGTTTCTTCCTCTGCACTGTTTTGGAACAGTTTCAGAAGGTTAAGGATTAACTCTTCTCTATATGTTTGGTAGGATTTGCCTGTGAAGCTATCTGATCCTGGGCTTTTGTTTGTTGGATATTTTTTAATTACTGACTCAATCTCAGTACTGGTAACTAGTCTGGTCATACTTTCTGTTTCTTCCTGGTTCAGTCTTGGAAGATTGTGCCTTTCTAAGAATTTGTCTCTCTCCTCTCAGTTGCACGTTTTATTGGCATACAGTTGTTCAGGGTAGTCTCCTATGGTCCTCTGCATTTCTGTAGTGTTGGTTGTAACTTCTATTTTTTTCATTTCTGATTTTCTTGATTTGGGGCCTCTCCC